ACGTGAAGCGGAAGAATACAGATATTAAAATTTAATTTTAAGATGACCTTATGAGAATGTTTGCTAATGTGTGTTGCACTACGGTAATTCAAGTTTATTTTCATTTTTAGGGTGATATTATGCATTATTAGCCAACTGAATGAACAATAATCACGGTCACTCTATGCTAGTGTATGGGGTACACGAACTGATTTATCTCTTCAGTTGTATCTAAGACTCACTTACCTTCTTAACCAGGTTGTAATTTAAACAAACAAACGAAGGCCTGAGTTATTTTTTACCGTTAACTTTTTCAGATGTTTACTACTATCATCAATTTATCTTTTCTGTCACTGAAGTTTTCTGCGCCCTGGCTTTGTACCCAATTTCTATGTACTTGGTAACTTGACACAGCTAACAAAGTACTGTGTACAGCTTAATTATGTAACATCCATTCAAAACCCTTTTTTGCATGGACGAACGAGACTGCACGTTATTGACCAAGAAAATAAATGTAATACGGTTAAAACATTTAATCATTGATGTTAAAGGATGCTAGTTATTGTATTAAAAATATATGCTACTCAAGGATCAGAAAATCGTAAGACGCCGATGTACAAAATTTAACAATTCCAATAGTCTACTCGCATTGGCTTTGGCTAAGCTAAGACTGCCTAAGTCTGGAGAATAGTTTGGAATTGTATATTTTGGAAATTACTTCCTACATTGGTTGAATTCATTTTCAAATATTCGGAATAAAAGATAGTTTAAATAACTTCTGTCTGTGGTAAAACCAGAATAAATGTGTAACTAAACAAGGCGTATATTTATTTAACAAGAACTGTAAAGTCCAACTACTGGTACATTGCTTTTTTCTCTCTTAGAAAGTTACTTGCAGTTTGCTAAACTCTAATAACAATGATAAATGATTGCTTTATTTGAATGTTTTCTCTCAAAACCTGAACCAACGGCGTACTGAAAAATACGAGGCTGGAATTTGGGGACCACAATACTTAAGGAAATGTGGGATCAGCGTAGATGAGTACGACTTTGAAGTACACTAACAAAAACTGTGGTGCGGATATTGTATCTTCATTGACGGACGCCGTCAAGGATACGTATTATGTCATATTTTGACCTCGTCAACCTAATATTAGGGAAGAGAAGACAACATGATAATCTTTTACTAGGCTACCGTTGAAATTACTAGGTACTAGCAACCAAATTTATGGACTACGCTGTACCATCAACCATTTCCAGACGACAAGACATCTACGTAAAATGTCTTTAGCTAAACTTTATCAACCGAGATCTGAAGGCTTTTCAATATTTTTATGATTAATGTGGTCGAAAGCATCCATTACTTGTACAGTATTTGTATATTCAGAAGTTTGCAGTTTGACAAGTCTTTGACGAACGATGTACATTTTGATCACATTTCGCGTGTTTGGATATATCTATTCGGCAAAAAAGTTATTATGACATTAAAATATGCTGTACATACACCTCCAGTTTCATCAAGACAAAGCTAGACTAATTCGGTATTTTGTTTTATTGGTTTACACCGGTATTATCGGTTATTTATCAGTAAGAATCAGAAGCTGTTATCAGTAGTTATTGAATCTGATGGGGACTGAAAAAACACCGAGCACATTTTCAAATACAAGCTATATGGAAAAGCTGGTGAAAATTTCTCTTAGTTAGATGTTAGATCACTGTAATCAGAATACTCCTTAAATGTTATCATAAATCTTTCAGTTTTTATGTTAGAAAATTTCATTTTATGAGGCAGCTTGATTAACAAATGTGGTTTTGAGACATAAAATGTTTCCACTTGACTACTCTTTGATATTGTTTTAATCTACTAACTCGTGCTTATTTTTCAGCGTCTATGGAGCTAGGCGGTTAGTAAGAGTTCTTCACGTTTTTAAGATTAGTATTTACATAAAATTAGTGAATTTTTATACGCTTCTATCATCATTTGCACGATAATTTTCAATAAGGTCCAAAATTTCATATCAGCATACGGTTTTATATCGATCTCTTGAAAAAGACGTATTTCTATGAAATTAAACGCGAACCCGCAAAATTTAAAAAGACATTCTCCATAAAAATCTGTTGAAACATTGCTAATTTTCGACTTTTTCGCCAAATGTAAGCTTGTATGCGCTTACATAAACCGATTGCTTTCATTTTTATTTCGTTTTTGATATGGTTTAAGGCATTCGGCAACATCCTTTGGATGTTAGCGATAATTTCTACTAGGCTTTGACGGAAATGACATTCAGCTTGAATGGCAGTATCTCAAAATGCAAACTTTAGTTCACCGTCGACTGTACAGTTTGATACACACATACCAAACTGATTTACTGGCTGCGAAATACGATTTCGCAATATATATATATATATATATATATATATATATATATATATATATATATATATATATATATATGACCGTCTCAGCAACGAATAAAATAAGTTCAGCTGTAATCATCGGGCACTTAACTTGAAATATAAGATAAATGTGTTCGACAAGCAAGATCTTGATATTAATTTCACATTCAATGACTATTAGTATTAAAAGTTTTATTTGCTCGGTCTGCCAGTTATTTTGTGTGGTAACGACGTAGCGCAGAAGCCTGTCTGTGAAAGAGTTACGCGAGCTCCTCATTTCGGGGGAGCCGCTATTGTTAAATTTGGGGAAATTTTGGGAAAATTAAACAAAACCCTCAAAATTCCCAGAGACCTGGGGAAATTCTTCAGTAATTCCCCAAAATTCCTCTTTAATCTTGGTCAAGGTCACTTGACATTGGGGATTTTCTCAAAATATCTCCAAAATAACCCGAAATTACCTCGAAGTTCTCCAAAATTTCCCCAAACATTATTGAAGGTCATTTGATTTCGAGAGTTTCCTCAAAATTTCCTCAAACTTGGGAGCTCGGGTAGGCATATTACACAAAACTCATATTATAATAGGTTCTCCTTATTGACATAGTTAGCAAATTTCTCAAGAAGGTCAAAACTTTCTGCGTCAATGATGACAAGCGAGAAAGAAGTTGATAATGTTTCTCAGAAAATGCTCATATAGTTGAGTGCTCAACAGAATACTCAAAAGCCTACGATAGAACAGCAAACCTGGTTGCTGTCAAAAACTCATTATATGTTGAAGCGATGGCTATTATATATTTTTATTTCGAGAAGTTTAATTCATCCAGCATCGACATTCATTAGAGTGTATTATAATACCCATACCAAACTCCAAACCCTACAAGTATCCTGAAGTAAAAAAGGTCCTCTTGCTTCCTCTCAACAACTATCATGTTTTAGTGTGAACATTCTTAGCACTTTCACAACCAAAATATCCATAATTTATTCATTCTTGTTTCTTTGTGGCGAATTAAATGCTAATGCTCACTAGTTTTAAGCGTTTGACCATTTGATACATGATCATGAATGTTAGTAACAGGCAGTGTTAAATTAGACAAAAAACTTGTGAACATTATGTTGTAAATACAAAAACAAGATTCAAGAGAATAATATTTATGATAGCATGAATTTCGAAAGCCTGTTACCTAAAAGTATCAGTCATAATACATTCCAAGTAAATATTTCCAATCTCAATGTGTTTACAATGCAACACAACAATAATCCAGTGGTATTGTTGGTGAATATTTCACTGGTAACATGAGTAAACTTTATAAACCATAGCATTTTACTAGATGCTTACAAACTTATCTTTAAACGAAGTCATTACTAGAGAATATATGTTAGCATTATTATTGAAAAGCTTTGTGTAATTTGTTTGTTTATTCTTCAGACTCACAACTAAACAATGGAAATGATAATGTGCCCGATGAACCATTTGTTGGGTTTGTTTTTTACCCTATAGTTATCATCATTAGGATAGATCACAAGAGTCATTGTCGGATTTCGATATTGTTGTCGGACATTTGGAGGAGATAATGATGAGTAAGAGTGTTTATATTTAAGTATAAAAGACTCCATAGTTCACACCATTAACTGATTTAAATTAGATTACTGTTGGAAACCAAGAGGTACCAAACAGCTTTTTCGTCTCATTATGGGAATCTTTAGTAGTACACACCCACGACCTCATTACTGTGGATCTAACCCAAGACTTTCATATCTCGTAGTGAGCACTTAACCTCTAAACCACAGTTGTCTTGTACGTTCTGGTTCCTAATATCCATTTAACTAAGGTTAGTTGTAAGTCTAACTATGAAAACTTAACAATATCCACTAAATCCTTGTATTAATAATCATCACATCCTCACTAGAAACTAACTTTGAGAATTAGTTCCAAAACTTCTATTTGAATTTGTGTCCAGAGGATGCGAGAGTTGCTGTATTCCGGTAATACCGCAGACTTTTTAAAATTAAACTTGTACACTATCGCATGCTGGTGTGAAGTCGGAAGCTTTGAGTTTAATCCCCCGTGCCCGAGTCATAGATATTAACTATCAAAGAGTCCCATACTAGGTCGAAACGGCTGTTCAGTGCTCCCTGGTTTTTAACGGTTGTCTAACCAAGATTAGCTCGTGATGTTAAACTATGAAAATTCAACCATTTTCACACACCCTTATGGAATGAATAAAGCATTTTACAAGTTTGTATTAAAGTAGTCTAAATTACATTTCATGATAGACATGTGATGGTTATGTATAATTTGGTGAAATTATATCAGGTTATATGGAGTGTACTTGATTATCTGTTTCTGTTGGGGTTTCAGAAAATACCCCAGAAATTATCTAATGCCATTCCTGAATGAGAAGTAGTGTCATTTCCCCATTGGCCAACATTCTCCCAACGTGTCATTTCCTTATTGGTCAATATTTACTTGTATCATTTCCTGAAGGTTAAATCTTGTACAAATGTTACTTTCTATTTTATGGTACGATGTAGTCTGTTTGTTTGGTATATAAAAAGTGTATGTTTGAAATATAATGATTCATATCACCGAGGCTGAGACTTGTGTTCTGGACTCAACTGGCTGAGCTAGACAGGGAAGCAGGGCCAATCAGGACTCTAGGCTGCTCGCTCGTATTCGATGCGTCACTGTATCGATCGATAATACTCTGCTCTCTAATAGGCGGATCACGCGTTATAACAATTGGCGATGGGGATGTAAATTTTACCGTGTATCTTCCAATTTTGTCTACTTTAACTCATTTTATGTTGCTTCATAGCCTTAAGAAACCACCATTTTCTTAGTTATGACAAATGATCAAGGGAGTCGCACTTAATCAGTCTGATCCTAGTGGTTTATTTTGACTTGGCTACTAATCAAGAAAAGCGGTTGTCTACTTACAACCACATGACCTGTACAATAAATACAAGAACTGTGATTGCATACAATTCCTTATCTGTAATTTCATCATCGTATCAGATCATCCTTCGCTTGAATTATTCTCTATAGGATTTCTTTCTGTCCCAGTTTGGGAAGTGATCATATGAAAATAATGAAACAGTTCAACAGAGCCCGACCTTTGAGGACTTATCAAGATGTGTTTAACAATGAAAACAAAGATGAAACTTGTCTCTATCCAATAACGTGGGTTATTTTAAAGATTATAAAACTGATTTCGGCTAAAATTTCCATAATTGATCTCATATAGTTCTCATATTTATGGTACATAATATTGAAAAGTAACTTAGTTTAACTTATACTACTTATTTATTATTTAAGTAATATATTTATAACATTCTTCAATTTTTTTCTATTCTAATGCTTAAAAACCAAAAAAAGGTGATCAGTTTCAAAGTATCCAAGATGCATTTATGAATGAAAATTACAATGAATTCGATGAAAATGAAGAGAATAAACTTTGCTATACAGAAATTCATGAAAAATATGTAAATCTAATTTGTTATTTTTTTAAAAAAAATTCTTTACATCACTTTCATCATCTATTCAATTGAAACTAATGATTAAATATAATTTTATAGATTAATACAGTTGAACGAGTATTAGAAGAGCAATTATGTCAAAGAATACCACATTTCTCAATGCGTTCATTTATAGACAGCTTAGTGTAAGTATACATACATATATATATATACATAAATGGATTTCAATGGTTAAGATCATGAGTCAGTTGAAGTTAGATCATCATGGAAAACCTGGGTTCGAATCTCGCAGGGGGCGGGCGAGGTCTTGGATATGCACTGCTGAGGAGTCCCACAATAGAACGAAACGGCCGTACAATGCTTTCAGAATTTCTATGGTGGTCTAGCTTCAATTGACTCATGATCTTAACCATTGAAATTATTATAATATTTACAAAACCCATTTGATATATGGATTTGTTTGTAATTGGATATCTTTGTAGATCCTTTTATTCAAGTTTATTATTCTGTTAAGTTGAGTTGTCTTCTTTTTGTATAAGTTTATATATCAGATCCACGTTCATACGTTTATTGATTTAGATACTGTGGTTCCTAGAATTTCAAACTCTCCCCAATTAAATATATGTTTATCTTGTATACTTTCATTAATATCAGAGATAGTATCTCATTCCATTGCTAATCTGTGTTTGTACATTTATCGTTTTAAAATAACATTATTTGTAAGTAAACACAACTTTTTCATCAAGTATCGATCCATATACTCAAGTTTGTGCTATATTACTTGTTTTATCTACGTACTAGCTATACTATTCGATGTAGGGTTTGAGGTTCTAATCTACACATTGAAAGCTGAATAGTTTGAACTCTATAATCTATCATCCTATAGTGTTTACTGGCTCGAAATCAAACCTAGAACCTTCAAGTTTCATGTTGAGTGCTTAATTTTTCAATCAATTTTACACTTATATGTCTTTAGTTAAAACTAAATTTCAATAGGATAACTATTATCTGTTGAACATTTTACATTGAACAAGTTTAAACCTTAAAGGTGAACAGCATGATAGAACAAATTAAGTTTGCTTTAAAGCATTATTCATGATTGACTAGTTTGTTATTTCATACTACTGTTTGATTGTTTTTGAATTTTTTCTCACTTCATTCTGAGTCGGTCAGTTAGCAACAACGTAGAACTTCGTACGTACGTATATCAGTTCAACCCACCATACCACATTAGCACGGAGATATAATTGTTGATTCAAATCCCATGGTGGTAGAGATAGTAAGAATATAAGCAGTAATCGTAAACATTAGGGTTTGAAGATGTTATTCAAGGAGTATAATGCAGTGAAATAAATTTGGAAAGAGAAAACAGAAAGGGACATGAAGGATTTAGAAGATTAGAATTTAGGAGAACACAAAGACTGGATGCACCTGCACACGCCATTGCAAACGATTTTGAGCCATGTCATTCAAGGTCTCTAACCATTGGTTGCTATCGTCTCGCGAATCCTAACCAGCTAGTCTACACCTACCAACATGGCTCAGTCCACTTGTCAGTGAATTCATGGATTTGTGAGATGTTTTGGTTTGGCTTCTCTTACCTTTCTTTCAACCTACTACTACACCATGAAACATCGCAAGTTGGGGCAGCCGGTGGTTGAATATACGTAACACGTGTCCTAGCCATTTCAAATGATGAAATTTCTTTACTTCATCAATTAATTTACCATCCTAACCTAGTACTCGTTTCCTAACAACTGCATTACTTACTCGGTGGTCCCAGGATATACAAGCAATACTTCGAAGACACCTATGATTAAGTACTGGTAACCTATGAATATCCTCTACTCTTACCGGCTATGAGATTAAGCATATAAGTTATAAAAAATGGCTCTGATACAATTGTTTCATTACGATACATTCACAATGTGATTACACTACTTTCATAGTTCATTATAAGATCATATAGAGATAATCAATATTTAAATCTAACGAAAAATTTCCAATGATCACTGTCATATTCATGATCTTGTCTTTTTTTATTTATTATTTCTATACAAGTAATTTTTATGATCATTTCTTATTTGTGTGTGTGTATGTGTATGTGCTTTCTTCTCTTTTACACAGTTCCAATAGTTGTTGTTTAGATGGTGAAGTATTTGAAATGTTGTATACATTTACTGATTTTCTTGCCTTCAAAGAAATGATGATTGATTACAAGAAGGTATGAAGAAAATTAACATTTTAATAATGAATATAAATATATGTATTACTCTCTATATTTTATTATGATACTGTGGAACTATACACTAGTATGCGTCAGAATTCATTGATCACTGGGTAGTGATCAATGTCATGTGTGTCAAATCCTTCTTAGTGCAGATCGAATCCTATTGATCAAGTTGGCCATCAGTCTAGGTGACTTGACACTGCGTGCACTATGTTGAGATTAAATGGTGGTTGGAGGTAGTCGACATGAAACCATGAACTCGGGTTTCGTGCTACGGGATCGAATCCGTCAGGGAGTACCAGTTCCCTCAAGATTACAGGTACATTTTGCAGACGAGTGCCAAGTAGCACGAAACCCATTTTCAGGTTTTCCTGTCGACTACCTTCAATCACCATCTAATCAGTAGCATGCATCCACGACCCTAAATTTGGAGTTTAAACTGCAGAAACTCTACAATCTCTACAAATCACCTTATACTTGAGGAATAATTAATAAGCTGAATTCAACCTGATGTTGAAACTAGTGAAATTGTTCAGAAATTACAATTGAGCAATTTAACTAAGAGAATACAACAATACATAAGCTTCCATATTAGCTTAAAATTTTCTCCGTCATTTCACAGTTCAAGTTGTTAAAAAGGAATTGTTGCTGACAGTGTCTGGCTAACGGATGCGAATTATTTCGCATAGACAACTGTTAACAAACGCTTGTATCTTCTGGATGTGAGCTTTCATAGTTCTCCAAGTTTCTGCCCCATACAATAGGATTCTCTTGATATTTGTATTGAGAATTCTGACCTTGGTATTGGTTGATAGACAGTTGTTTTGAGTTGCACATGTTCTTCAGTTGTAAATATGCTGTTCTTGCTATATCGATCCGTGCCTTTACATCTGCATCAGATCCACTGTGTTTATCAATGATACTCCCTTGATATCTAAAGGTTCTTGCATCTTCCAAATCTCCTCCGTCAATTGTGATTCGATTGGTGCAGGCTATCATAAATTAATTTTCATATCATGTCATTATGATGATGTACCTTCCGCCTCTCTTCATCTTAGAATGGATGAATAAATTATAAATGAACTGCTTTTTTGGTACTTGTTGAGTTTCTCAACAATTGAATTCACGATAGATTGTAAACATTTTATAGAATATCTTGTAAACAACCGTTTGAAAGACATAATTGTTGTGACTTTATGGGCCGCCTGTTATCACGTAATCTATTCGCCAATCAAAATACTACTTAATCGCCCTTGTACTGTACTAAACCAATGACGTTCGACCGGTATGAGCAGCCTAGCGTCCTTATTGGTCCTATGTTCGCCTAGCCCATCCACTTGAGTCCAGAACACCAACACCAGCTCCCACTATTGGAATCGAGTCGAATCATTTATTTCAAACATATTGGGTTTATATATCAACCAAACAGACCGCAACGCACCATAAAATAGGAAATAACATGTGTACACAATAAAGCCAAAAAGTGGCTGTGAACGTGGGAGACAGTAATTAATGAGCTGAGTATAACTTAAGAACAGTAAATCGTACAATAATAATCTATAGACCAAACTGAAGCTTATAATACGGAGGATATAGATATATACAATCTAGTTACTGAACAGTTATACCATAAGAATATATAAATAATATTAGCCCGTTAATAGGTCTCAGAAGTTACTCGTAACGTAATGTTTGCCAGGATATAACAATAATTTTGGAAATGAAACAAGTCTAAACAAGAAAATTTGTGGTAATAAATGCCTCTTTGGAAAAACAGTATTCAAAGGGTTTGAACAGGTCACTGTTTCTATAGTGAATAATTAAAAACAAGCAGAAATCGCCAACATAGAGCGCAACACAGATTATTTGCATTGGCCTAAATTGCCATGTTACACCGGTATAACAAAAAAGATCAAAACAATGTAGTAGCAATGATAAAAAAGCGACTAAAGCTTGGGAATATGATTAAAAGAACAAACAGTAGAATGCTATGCATAGAAACGGTACTAGGATACAAGATGGAACGGAAGATCAATAGTGGATTCATCTATTCCATTGTAAATGGTCTTAAACCATATCACTCAATGTCTTCAACCATTGATAGCGTTTATTACATGTACTTCGATCAAGTAGTTTATACGGTGAAAGTATAATATATGGACTGACCAATCAGGTATAAATTAACAGGTCTCGGATTTTGGTGCAAAATTCACCCACCCATTTGACTAAATAGAGTCTTGACATTATAGCTGATGTCAGTTCGTGATGAAAACCCTAAATCTGATTCCTAATCTTAACTATCAACTGTAAACCATAACTCATATTTCTCATACACAGGTTTATGACCTCCATTAGGTTCTAGTTATTAGGTGAACCATCTCAAGATCAGTCTAGCGTCGCTTAATGGTCGTCCATAAATTATATTCTCATCGTTTGCACCAACCAACACAGTTTAGACTAACAGTTAATTCATTCATCTTTACAGTCAACTATTTTGATGGAGTTTTGTTCTCAGACAGAAGACTTCTATCTGAAGTTTGTGCTGATGATGTCGTTCAGAAGAACGATGAAAGCTTCACGACCAAACCATCCAGCTCAGAGAACAAAACTCCATAAAAATCATCCACCTGAGCTACAAATCTTCTCCACCATCTCACAGTCAACTATTAATTATGACATGCCTTTTTATTTATCAATATCAATCCGTGTCGGATAGAGACAGATATCTACCTCAGTACAATGGAAGATGGTCGCGCAATTTCGTGGATTGGTTGATGTTAAACACTAACATCATTGGGTGCCTGCTCGGTGGTCTAGTAGGTTAAGCGTTCGCTTGCGAGACTGAAGGCCCTGGGTTCGAATCCCGCGAGAGAGATCGTGGATGCGCACTGCTGAGGAGTCCCATACTATGACAAAACGGCCGTCCAGTGATTCCAGGTTTCCAACGGTAGTCTAACATCAGTCGATTCATGATCTCAATCAAAAACTTAATAATCTCCACAACCCCAATAATCTGATTTCTAATCTCCATTTAACTCTTTACTTTCTTCCATTTAAAAAGGCTAAAACTGGACAAACGGTTCATTTGGAATTAATCAATTCCTATCATAGTTATAATCATTCATCGATCATAATGAATGATACAATGGATCATCAATTACAACATAGATCAAATAGTACAATTATAAACTCTTGTTCATCAATGACAAAATATACAAATGGAGAGAATCAAGCAGATCATTAAAATTTTATGAATATACCTAACTTTAAAATGAATTACATCATAATATCTTAAATGTATTAATCAAACTAATTGCATTTGTTGTTGTAAAGAAAAGTGATTTGTTTTGATAAATTCATTTCCCTTTGAGTTATTTCATTCTTTTGTATGGATTTATCATTATATCACATGTGTTACCATCACAATTGATTGATCACTGGGTGGTGATCAATGCCATGCGTGTCTAGTCCTTGTTAGTGTAGGTCGAATGCTATAGATCATATTGCGATGTGGCCACCAGTCTAGGTGACTCGGCACTGTGGGCACTATTGTGAGATTAGATGGTTGTTGGAGGTAGTCTGTAGGAAACCCTGAACCCGGGTTTCGTGCTACTTGACACTCGTAAGCAAGGTGTACCTGTAATCTTAAGGGAACTGGTGCTCCCTGACGGATTCGATCCCAGCTAGGACTAGACACGTATGACATTGATCACCACCCAGTGATCAATCAATCGTGATTACATCTCAGTCCTACAGGAGGTCGGTCGTGGCCCAGATAGCTCAGTGGTAACGTCTCTGACTGTGAAGCTGGGTGACACGGGATAGAATCCATCAGGGAACACTAGTTTCCTTAAGTTTACAGATACACCTTGCTGACGATTGCCAAGTAGCATGAAACCCGGGTTCGAAGTTTCCTGTCGACTACCTCCAACTATCATCTAATGTGTTACAATATATGATTGTTTGAATTTAATCTTAACTCTAATATGTACTACTTTTAAACTTATTAAGTAGTATATTATTTTTAAGTAAAGATGGATAGTGGTTAGCACTTGGATCCAGGATTCGCATTTCGTCCTATTTAAGACTCATCAGTTGGATGTACCTGCTCCTCACAGTTGATGTTCACTCCAGGACTCGAACGCAGTAACTTTTGCTTAAAAAGCCTTCGCGTTATCCACTCAGCTACTGAGTCCTGATAACCACTTGCTTGTGCGATGGGGGTGAATTTAAATTCACATGGTATTGTTTGGCTTGTATCTTCCCACTGTTATTTAGGACTACCAATGATCAGTGACTTAAAGCTATATCGTGGATGCACATATGCCAACAAGAGACCAATCAATTGCAGTCCTAAATAATCATTATCAGGATCTTTACTTTCACTGGGAACGCTCTTGCACCACTGTTTCGCCACACAGTGGTAAACATACTAACTTTAGTAATTTCACGATATCAAACCACTATCTTCCATTGCTTATCATGAATAACTGTCTCGTATATGACATTATCGAACTTCACTAGTTACTGCTCCCCACTGTATTTCTTAGAATTAGTAGACGATTTACTAAAATCAGTCAACGATGGAATTCAGAAAATCTCTATGAACATTAACCCTTTTGCTCCAAATTGTTAATTGTATCGTTAAACATGAAGCGACCATGAAATCTATCGCTTAGTAATTCAGATGATGTTGGTGCAAAAAATAACCATCATAATGTACTTATGACAGAATGGAGTTGTGCATTGGTTTGGTAAAACCTTTTCTGTACTATTAAGGGTTATGTTAACAAATCCATTGATTGTGTGCTCGATATAGCTTCCTTCTCTACCTTTTTTGCCATGTACATGAGTTTAACTGCTTCTGAGAATTAGTTGAATAATAATCTCATATGTGCATATAAATATTACAGCATATTGAAGTAAATCATGATGGATGTCTTATTTGAATCTATACAAATCACGATAAATTACTATAATCATACGATAACTTCAATAGTTGAGATCATGAATCAATTGAAGCTAGACCACCATGAAGAACCTGAAAGAATTGGATGACCGTTTCGTCCTATTGTGGGATTCCTCAGCGTTGCGCATCCACGACCCCGCCTTGCCGGGTTCGAACTCAAGACATATCAGTCATTCGCGAGCGAGCGCTTAATCTCTAGATCACTGAATCGGCATCCAACAGTGTTAATGTCTAAATTCAACTAATCCACGAAATTGAGCGACATATCCACCATTGTTATCAGCAAGTTACTATCCCACAACTGACTCGGTTGAACTCCAATTGTGCTAGATGACTTATATAATTCCCCTATCTTTAATATTATTATTGATTATTTTTGGATTGTGGAAATATATTTATGTTCTAGTCAGGCTAATCATGTGTTCTTAATCAGCGGAATTGTATTGAAGTCCTGTAGAATAGACACACTGAAAGGGAATCTAGTGTAGATATTTGTCTACGGCAAATAAACATCTCATTCATGTAGACAAATGAATTACTCATTCTAAAAAGAATAACATATCAATTGATAACAAGATCAGATTTATTTCATAACATGGCGAGACTCTAATTTATGGACAAGCTAATCAGAAGCGTTTTAGAGATTTCAAGGTTACGGTATCAACTTCAGTGCTTAATGCTAACGTACGATCGGTTCATAAGGAATTTTGTACAAAACGTGATAATTGAGCGGCAATAATAAATAAAACGGCGAGACTACAATTTGTGGACAAATCAATCAGGTATAAGATAACAGATCTCGGATTTTAACGTGAAAGCCTTTCATCCATTTGGCTAAATAGATTTCTGGCATTATAGCTGATGTCAGTTCGTTATGAAAACCCTATATATATAATTCCTAACTAAGGCAAATTATGACAATTATCGAGAACTGGATAATAAATGCAGCAGTAACACTGTCTGCAGTCAGGTACTACAATATATATGGATGGTTGGGCGGGCGTACAGATGCCCACATAGACGTGGTTATGTGCATCGTGTCATTATCCACAAGTGGAATTTTGTGTACCCAACAATCGGAGTACATGCAAACAATATTGAAGTTATGTGGTGGAGGCTGAAAGAGTTTCTGCTACATTATCATGTCTTCAGAGGCCAACTATTCTGTAGCCATATAGATGATTTCCTCTACTACATGCATTACGATTTTAGAACCTCTGAACCTCTTTCTAACCTTGACAAGTTTTCGAACCACATATAAGAAGTGTATCCAATTGATTTCCTTGTTTTTATATAATATATATTTACTCTATCCTGACTGTTTGCTAATTGACTAATATTTCAAATGGTCACTTAAGATTCGTTCAAAGGTTGTCCATAAATTCAAGTCTCACCCATATCATCAATGATAATATTCAACATTGAACCAATTGCTTTATTATACTCTATATTTAATTATATTGGAATTCATATTGGATTCATCATCTACTAACTACATTCATATTAACAATTCAATAGTTTATCATATTTTATTATTTTAGAATATATTCCATCTTATAAATGTATTTGGTATTTTTATAATAGTTACTATACATAGTATTATTGTGATCCATGATATAGTTAATGATCCTGAAATAAAAATAAAATCTATAATTGATTATCAATGATGAATTGTGTTATAAATCAATAAGCGATTCATTTGATATTGTTTGCTTGACACTGCCGATTGTTGTCTAGGACTGCCATTGATCAGTCTCTTCCTCTCTCTCTCTCTCTCTCTCTCTTATTGACAAATGTGAATCCTGTATGGATTGTCTCGATATTGCTTTAAGTTACAATCATTGTAATCAAAGATGGATAGTGGCTAGTAGTGAAATCCAGGATGCGGATATCGTCCTAATATGGATTCGTCAGCTAGATGTACCTACATCTTAGAGTTGATATTCACTCTAGGACTCGAACCCAGTACTGTTCGTTTCAAACTCCATTGTGTTATTCATCTAGCTAATCAGTCCTAATAGTCACTCGTTTATGCAATAGAGTGAAGTTTAAATTCACTTGGTATTGTTTACTTTAATCTTAGCATTAATATTTAGGACCACAATTGATCGGTCTCTCTCTTATTGACATATGTACATATTGTGTGTATTGCCTCGATAGTGCCCTAATTCACAAGCATTATAAGCAAAGATGGTTATTGGTTAGCATTGGATAACGCGATGGACTTTGAAGAGAATGGTACTGGGTTTGAGTCTCAGAGTAAGCATCGACTCTACAATGCAGGTACATTCAGCTGACGCGTCCCAAATTGGACGAAACGCACGTCCAGGATTCCACTGCTAGTCACCATCTATCTTTGAATAAGAAATGTTTTAGTGATATTGTTTATGGGTTATATAATTTTAAAATAACACAAAGTAATCACAAACAATATAGACTAATACGTATTTATGCATCGATCCAAGTTGTCACACCACTTAAGTACAGTGAGGTGAAATTATCGTGATCAATACCAAAGGAATTGTGTTAGGAAAAAGTGGACATACGGAATATAGTTTGATTAGAAACAATAAGTTCATTCAATATCAGATGTGAAACTCATGTTCTAAGAGAAGATAAAAATTGAATGCATTTACATCATTGTCAGTGATTATGAGGTTTATCAATCAACACCTGTAACTATTGGTTACGATAATCCAACCTGTTAGTCTCCTTGAAGCAACATATCACCAACTAACAGTCAATAACTTTAGGGATTGTTGGCACTATTTGGTTTGACCACCTATAGTTTTCTTCCAATATACTTCTAGACCAAAAAATATTCCACATCGATGCTAGTAATAGTTGGGGATATGTAATACATATCCCACTCATCTTAGTCGATGCAGACTCACAGCTTCACGTAGTAAATATTTTAAATCTACTTAATTACTCTCTTAAATCCGTAGGTCATAACACGGGCTAATCTTAGATCACCATTAAGAACCATGAAGTACTGGATAGCTGTTTCGTCTCATTACAGGGCTCCACAGTAGTGCTCATCTACGACCCCACCTCAGGAGACTGAACATAGCACCGTCTGTTTCTCAGTCGGATGCTTGATGTCTAGACCAGCTAGCTGGTACACAATGGTTTACATGTTTAACTCCCATCACTGCATGATTTATTTTCTTGCCAGAGAAAAATAGGTAGGTTTTGATAGAGATATTTCAGAGATCGATATCAAAAATAGTTCTTTATGGTGTCCGTCAGTTACAGGTTAACACTTCGCGTTCTTGACTGGCTTTAATGAGGCAGCCATCAAAGTTCAAGAATTAATGAGCACTTGTTTTGTCCTAGTACGAAGCAGTGTTTATGCGTAGCGTTGTCAGAGATAAAACCTATGACTTTAAGGACCCACCATA